GCAGAGCGGGGGGAGAGAGAGAGAGAGGCAAGCTTTTACATTTACAGCAGGAAGGGAACAGAGGTGCAGCATGGCTGGGGTGCTCCTTGCAGCCGCTCGCCTCCCAATCTCCAACAAAGCTAGGGTCGGCGCTCCTTGCCGCCCTCCACGGCGGGAAATTCAAATGGTGGAGGGCGGGGAGGAGCGTCGAAGACTGATGCGGGAGCCTCGGCAAGCAGCCGCTGGTGCTGGTTCCGGAGCTGGAGGCACCAGCGGCCGCATCAGCCTGCTGAGGGCGGCAAGGAGCGTCGACCCTGGTTTTGTTGGAGCCTGGGAGGCGAGCAGCTGCAAGGAGCACCCCAGCCATGCTCAGACTCCCAGGCGGCTGGCGCTGGCAGGCGCTCCCTCACTCCTTCAAGCATGCACCCACGCGCAGGGGTGGGGTGGGCAGGCACTCTTGCGAACATGCCAAGTAGTGGGGGAGCGCACGTGCCAGAGGCATGGCAAGAACGTTGCAAATGGGATATGATGGTTCCCAACCTGAGGCTGTGAATACCCCCAAGCCAGCATACCTAGTCTTTCTGTCTCCTTACAGGGGGAAGTCCTACCTCTGTTCCCTTCCTGCTGTAAACGTAAATGCTTGCCTCTCTCTCTCTCTCTCTCTCCCCCGGCTCTGCACCCCCACCCCCATCGCCACCACTGCTGCCGGGAGGAGAGCCGCAAAAACACCCGGGCCCTGCTCTCCCTCCCCGCCCCCCCGCCACCGCCGGGCCACAAAGGCAGACCTCCTGCCCCCCCAGGCACTTCCCTCCCCACAGCTGGTTTACAGACATAGCGGCTGGCATGAAGGGGTGAGGGAGGGGAAGGAGTGTGGGGGGGCGGGAGGTCTGCCTGCACGGCCCGGTCGGGCTCAAGCCGGGGACCGGCAATGGGCCGCGGACCGGGGGTTGACGACCTTTGCCTTAACAGGACCCACTGATTATGTTTGCCATGGCTGAGAGGGGTTGTTGTGGGTTTTTTGGGCTCTTTGGCCGTGTTCTGAAGGTTGTTCTTCCTAACGTTTCTCCAGTCTCTGTGGCCAGCATCTTCAGAGGACAGCACTCTGTGCTCTGGTGTAATTTGCTTGGGAGTGGAGGATTTATGGCTGTGAGATAGGCTTTTGTCCTTTTCATGAGATGGGTGATTGTGTGTCTTGGGACACACTCCCAAGCAAACTACACCAGAGCACAGTTATGGCTTTTTACACTCTGAGAGTATTCCTGGCAGCCACCACCTTTTATTTCCACTGTGCTCCTGAACTGAGTCCACTTCATAGTCAAGGAAAAAACATGCATATTGGTTGTTTAGAAAACTTGGCAGCCGGTGGTGGTGGCAAGCATCCATTTTTGTGGATGGTGACCTAGAATTCAACTGAATAGCTATGACATGGCAAAGGATCAGGACACACAAGCCAGAACAACCAAACCCAGGGCCTTTTCTGCTGCAGAGCCCCAGCTATAGAATTGGAGGCCTGATTCGTACCAACATTGACATCATTTTGCCACCAAATTAAGACTTAACCGTTCACCAAAGCTTTTGGTTATTGTAGCCTGACTGGGTATTGCTCTCTGTTTTAGTATATATAGCACATATTATTTTAAACTATTTAAACTAATGGTTCTAAATGGCTGCTTTATAGGGTTTTATATTGATTAGTTGTGCTTTATTGTTTCTGCCCCATATTGAGATTCTTGCATGTACGGCAGGACATACATATTGAAATACAGTGGCGCCCCGCAAGACAATGTTAATTCGTTCCACGAAAAATGCTGTTTAGCGAAAACATTGTCTTGTGAAACGTGTTTCCCCATTGGAATACATTGAAATCTATTTAATGCGTTCCAATGGAAAAATCGTCGTCTTGTGAAAATCGTCCATAGAAAACATTGTCTTGCGAAACGCGGTTCCCCATTGAAATGCATTGAAATCTATTTAATGTGTTCCAATGGGGAAAAATCATTGTCTTGCAAAAATCGTCCATAGAAAACATCGTCTTGCGAAGCACAACAGTGATCGCAATCGTCCTGCGGATTAATCGTCCCGCGAGGCAATTGTCTTGCGAGGCACCACTGTATATCCAGTATGGTGCAATGAATACAGTAACAGCCTAGAACTCTGGAGACCAGAGTTCAAATCCCCTCTCAGCCATGGAAACTCATTGAGGGGGATAGCACTGGTACAATCACTCCTTAAACATGTCACTTACCTTAACAGCATTATTAGGGTTGCTATAATTTGGTTCTTATGACACATTACTTTAAAAAAGGAACAGGTCCACAGGGGTCTTAGTGGCCTCACAAAAAAGCAATTTGCTGAGGACAGCTCTGAACCTATTCACCTGCTAATCCTAGAAACCAAGAGTTTTGACAGAGACTTACTTAACCTTTTCCTTTTTGATATCTGACAGACACCTGCTACATCCTGTCTTTCTCTGTCATAATGTTGAACACTAGCTTACACAACCCCAACGTCAAAGACAAACCCCCATTGGAAAGGTTTGTGTCCATGAACAGAGGCATCAATGATGGAGGAGACCTTCATGAAGACCTCCTGAGGGTAAGAAGACTTTGTTCTTTCCCCCGTTTTACTCTGCTTGCTAGAATTCTTGACGAGTAACCTCTTCGAGAATGCCCAAATCTAAAGGAAGACGCTAGGTTCTATGACAACACAATAAGAGCAGTGTAGTATCAAACCAAACCTGATCTAGTCCAGCATTCTACTCTCACTGTGGCCATAACTGTGGGGAAATGCACAAGCAAGATATGAGCACAACAGTATCTGATTGTTTTTTTCCAGCAAATGGTTTGCAAAGATAAACAATCTCTGAAGTGGAAGTAACATGTAGCCATCATGACTAGTCAGAGAATGGAAGTAATGTGTGACAAGTAATGACATCACCTCTAATGTATTACTGTGGGGTGGAGTTACTAACTGGCAACTTTGCTTTTGGGAAAGAATGACTGATAGCGTGACTTTCGGGAAGTAATGATCGGTAGCATCACTTTTTTTTCTATGCTTGGCAGTGTTTTCTCATTAGTATTTCTAATTAACTCAGGGCAGCAAAAATACATTTAGGGTGCATTTTGAGACCCACCCACCTCCATTTTTAGGCCAATTTCTCACCTTTATGGGCAGTTTCATTCCAAATGAAGAACTAAAGAGTAGACATGGGGACAAAGTGCTTTGGTTTGTGGTCGTCAACCTTGACGACTCACGAACCATGAATTGCCTCCCAGTGGCCGGACAAACCACAAATCAATTCAGTGGTTCATTGGGTCTTTTTTGTTTAGACAAACCACAAATCCATTCAGTGGTTCATTGGGTCTTTTTTGTTTAGACAGCCCATGGGGCTATCTAAGGGGGGGGAAGCCCCTCGCCCCCACAGCCTGTTCCATCCCCTTCCCACTGTTACTTACCTGGCCAGATTGCTTCCTCCTGCTCCACAGTGGCTTCTGCTGAAACAGAAGCTAGACTGCTGGAATTACCTTTTGCTAGGAGCAGTGGGGAGGGCTGGCTGAGGCAATACCTTCTGCTGTCAGACAGAGGGATGGGGGACTGCTTCAGCCAGGCTTCCCCTATCTTTCCATGCCCAGGTGGAAAGAGAGCAGAGTCCGGGATCACTTTGATTCCACTTGCCTTGTCTTTCGATGTCCGCAAAAGTATAGAAAGATGGGGGGAAACCTGACTGAAGTGATCTCCCCCCCTCCCGTGTTTGCAAAGACAGTGGGGAGAAGTCCTTTGGCCGGGCTTCCTCCATCTATGCCACAGGTGCTTTGAAATACAGGGGAAGCCCAAGCGAAATGATCCCCCCTGTCTTTATAAACAAGGGGGTGGGTGGGATTTCCTTCAGGCAGGCTTTATCAGACCTCCTGAAGGGAAAATCCTTCTCTACTTATGCCCCCCCCCGAGGAACAGCTGATCCGCAGGGGCATAAGCTGATAGGGATAAGCAGGGGCATAAGCAGATAGGGATAGACGAAGGGACAAATATAAAAGGGTTATATTCATTGCTTCGTATTTGTTGGGGCCACGTGGTGGCGCTGTGGGCTAAACCGCAGAAGCCTGTGCTGCAGGGTCAGAAGACCAAGCAGTCGTAAGATCGAATCCACATGACGGAGTGAGCGCCCGTTGCTTGTCCCAGCTCCCGCCAACCTAGCGGTTCGAAAGCATGCAAATGCGAGTAGATAAATAGGTACCATCTCGGTGGGAAGGTAAACAGCGTTCCATGTCTAAATCACACTGGCCATGTGACCACGGAAAGATTGTCTTCGGACAAACGCTGGCTCTATGGCTTGAAGAGCAGGATGAGCGCCGCCCCCTAGAGTCGGACACGACTGGACAAAAAATTGTCAAGGGGAACCTTTACCTTTACCTTTTACCTGGATCTCAAGAATATGCAGCAACAAATATCTGACGAATCAGGGATATTTGTTGAATATCCTGATTCATTTATATATTTGTCCCAATGTCTCCTAAAGAGCATTGGTGCAATGTAACATAGAAAAACAACAATTTGTAATTTGTAATAACAGTGGCAAAAATCCTATGGTGTTTTTACACAAACATAACCCAATTGTCAGCGATCTTCGCAGTGAAGTGCCACAGAGTGGCCTTGGCTGCCAGATGGGTAGGTACTGTATATCAAATAAATAAATAAGTTAAGAAGCTAACGTAATCATGCAACTCAGCACTCAACAGCAAATGTCTGTGCTAACTTCTAACTTGCCGCAATTCAGTGCCAAAATTTATACTAACTGCATTGTGCAACTAAGAAGATTTTGGACAATTAGTTACTTTCAGGAACTTTACAATAAATCTTTAGGTAAATACTCCCCCAGCCAAACACATTTTAAAAAGTAACTTTCCATAAGCACTAGCCACTGATAACCTTATGCTTTGTGAATTTTTCTAATTATCTTTTAAAGCTGGTGCCCATCACTGCAGCCTATAGAAATTAAATGTCATTGCTACATGGCACCTACAGGGTCTAGAGTATGTACACTGAGCATCACCACTGAGCTTTGTGGACCTGAGAAGTACTTCTTTCATATTGATATTCCTTTTTTGAACTGCAATCTAGTGCCACTTTTAATGTATGCCAGTCAGACATTCAACAGGCACAGTTTCCCTAGCATAAAATGATAGGAGAGGTTCATGTGTTAGATATCTAAAGGGATTCCAACTGTGAACGAAAAGAAAATTGTGTAAACCTATAAACTAATATTGATCTAAAGAAGGTCAGCTAATTTATTAGAAAGAAAGCACTCAAGCTGAATCTATTTGTTTAATGTTCGTACAATGCAAAGGTCAAATACCAGAAGCCACTGGTAATGGTGCGGCTTAAAAAAATATTGTAAATAAATAAATAAATAAAACTGGAATCTCATTAAAAATGTATGCCACAATAAGGCATGCAAAATACACTGGCCACATAACGTTAATTGCACATTATCAGATAAATAATTCAAAATTCTTGTGCACTTGCCAAACGTGTGGGAGGGGAGTAAAATCATGCCCACCAGCTGCACCCATCTCCATGTTTCAAGAAAGTGCAAAGGAATGCCGTGTGTGCAGTACACATGTATGCCCCAAAGACCCCATTTGCAGGAATGGAATCTGCGGCCCATCGCCCATACATCTGCATGTGGGAGGATTCACACTAAATATGCAGATAGTGGGAGACACCTGTAGCAGGTTACGGTACTGGAAAGTGAATCTTTGAGATACAGTCTTGAAGGCAGATATATGAAAAATGACAGCTATCATAGTCCCTAAAATAATTGTGTGTCTATCACGCTATATCCTACATGTGATACTTCATTCCATGACAGGGCTGTTATGAAATCACGTCTAAATATACCAGTAATCTCTTTCGGGAGACAATTTATATGCAGAAGAGAAGCAATACTAATTGGTACTCTATATGCAACCAATTTTCCAGGCATTCTGAATAATTTTTCATCTTGCAATAGAAATGTTAACTATTCTTTCTAGCCCTAATGAGCTCATGTTTTCTGAAAGATGGACGCCAACTCAAGGGAGTTCCTGGAAGGATATTTAGGGTATCACTTGTAAGATTAGGAGTTAACTTGGTGGCCAGAATCCTATTGGTGCTTATGTAACATTTCAGCAACTTGCTATGGCTTGTTATTGTTGTTGTTATGTGCTGTCAAGTCGCCTCTGACTTATGGTGACTGTATGAATGAGTGAGCTCCAGAATATCCTGTCCTCAACAGCCCTGCTCTGCTCTTGTAAACTCTGTGACTTCCTTTAGGGAGACGATTCATCTCATATTTAGTCTTGCTCTTTTCCTGTTGCCTTCAGCCTTTCCCAGCATTATTGTCTTTTCCAGAAAATCTTTCCTTTTCATGATGTGTTCAAAGGAGGATCACCTCAGTTTCATCATTTTTGCCTCCAGAGAGTTCGGGATTGATCTGATCTAGGACCCACTTGTTCACTTTTCAGGCAGTCCAGGGGATCCACAAAGCTCTTCTCCAGCACCAAATTTCAAACAAATAAAATTTTCCCTTTCATTACTGTCCAGCTTTCACACACATATATGGTGACTGGAAATAGAAGAATGTGAATGATTTTGTTCCTGGTCTCCAGTGATGCATCCTTAAACTTGATGATCTTTTCTAATTCATGCACTGCCGCCCTTCTGAGTCTCAGTCTTCTTCTGATTTCTCAGGGCAGTCTCCATTTGGAATGACTGAACCAAGGTATACAAAATCTGTAACAATTTTGATTTCTTCATTGTCAACATTAAAGTTGTGTAGTACTTCTGTAGTTATGATTGTTGTCTTCTTCCTGTTCAACCGTGTTCCTGTTTTGGCACTTTCTTCACTTTCCCTAGCAGTCGTTTCAAGTCATTACTGCTTTTTGCCAGTAAAATGTTGCCATCTCCATATCTTAAATTATTGGTTTTTTTCTGTCAATTTTCAGTCCTCTGTCCTCTGAATCTAGTCTGGCTTTCCACATGATATTTTCTGTGTACAGACTGAGCAGATATGGGGACAAAGTGCATCCTTATCTGACCCCTTTGCCTATAGGAAACCATTCTGTCTCTCCATATTCTGTCCGAATGATAGCTTCTTGTCCACAATACACATTTTCTTGTGCCTTGAGTTCAGTAGTGGCATACATCTTGGAGTTCTGGCATAGAAACCGTCTGTGTTTTGTATGTGTCTTACTGTGGAAACTGAAACCTCAGTGCCTGTTGCTACCAAATCTTGCTACCAGGCTTTGGCAGTCACTCGAGGATTTTTCTCAACCCACCTCTCAGAAATCTGGTTGCAGCCATTGATAGCTTCCTTAACCACTGTTCCCTCAATTTTGAACTTGCAAACGGTGTCTCTAAGAACATTCAATGCCTTTGCTATCTTTTTGTGTCCTGTTCCTTGCTTGTGAGGGGCAATGATCTCTTTTCTTAACTTTTTGGACTATTCTTTTGACTTAGCCATATTTCTAATATGCAGCCAAACGTGGCACTCCCCAAACCCCTCACCAGTTCAGGTATTTCATGTGTTCCAGCTCAAGCACATCTGGTGCAACTAA